TTTGAGAAGTGAGTGGGAGCAACTTCCATACTTAATGGTGGGCTGAAGAAGATAGAGCCAACCAAGGGGGAAGAAGAAAACAGGTACAGAAAGAAAACGGGATGAGTGTGGCACGACGGAGGCTAAGGAAACTGTGCTTCAGGAAGGGGTGGGGGTCAAGTGGACCAACTAATGGGGAGAGATCAGGTAACCTGAGAGCTGACAATGTCCTGTGGATTTGGTGACACAGAGGTCATTGGTGGCTTAGAGCTATTTTGGTTAGTGATGTGATATGAGTGGAAGGGAGGTTGGAATAGGGTTAGTGGAAAGTGAAGAAATGGAAAAAATGTGACTATACACAACTCTTTCAACACTGCTTGTGAAGGAGAGAGCAGCAGCTGGAGGAGAAAGTGGGTCTGAGAAAGGATTTTTACTGTTTGTTGTTTTTAAGTTTAGGAGAGACCTGAAAAATGTTCCAATAATGATGGGAAAGGACCCAACTGAGCAACAGAGATGCAGTCATGGTGGACATAGGTGTGAGGGACTGACCGTATCCCCATCCTAAGCACCATGAGGGAGTGGGGTCTACAGCTCAGGGATGCTGGCCTCAGGGAGAGAAGGTAGTTGGGATAATGGGAAGCTGACAGATCTCCTGTGTTTGGCTTTAGATGACTTTGTGGATTAGGAGAGGAAGTTATTTGCATAAAGTAAGAGTGAGTGATTTTTGATTGAAACCTAGACATTTTGGGTATTATGTTAAGAGGCTCTGGGTCTTATATATATTGTTATATTTTAGGAGGCACCATACTGGCAGAGGAAAGAGGTGCTGTCTTATTACTGCAGGAGCATGATCAGGTGGGCTGCACATCCAGATTCCCTTATCAGAGGTATGTGTGGCAGGGACACCTTCTTTCTGCTGGGATCCCCACTAAGTGTCCATTGACACCACCTGGGCTACGTCACTTTCGTTTTTGAAAGAACCTTTTTTTGTTGTTGTTGGGTATAGGATTCTAGGTTGACGGTCTTTTCTTCGAGCACTTTAAAGATACTGTGTCACTGTCTTCCTGTTTGCATCATTTCTGATGGGAAGTCTGCTGTCATTCTTATCTTCACTTCTCTATACATACACTGTGTTTCTTTTTCTTGCCCTGTTTTAAGGTTTCCTTTTAATCACTGGCTTTAAGCAATTTGATTATGATGTGACTTGGTGTAGTTTGGTTTATGTGTTTTGAGCTTGATGTTTGTTGAGCCTTTTGTGCCTGCACAGTCATATTTTTCAGAAAATTTAGAAAAAATGTGGACATCATTTTTTCAACTGTTTTCTTTTGTCTGAGTTCTTTCTTTGGGGACACTGCATGTGTATTTGTCTGCTTCAAGTTTTCCTCAATGCTCTTTTCATTCATTCAGTGTTTTTTTCTCTTACTATTTTATTTTTGATTTATTTTCATTAGTTATTAAAATAAAATATTAAGAGAAAAAACACTGAATGAATAAAAAATAAAAACACCTTTATTTTCTATTTTTGAGTTCTAGGGTTATCTGGGATATCTTCACTCTTTTCTTCTGCAGTAACATGTTATCAATCCCACCAGTGCGTTAAAAAATTCTCGGGCATTATATTTCTCATCTCAAAACGTTTGATTTGGATCTTTTTAATATCTTCTGTGTCTTTATTTAGTATGTTCAATCTATTCTCTGTCTTCTTGAGTGCATGGGACATAGTTACAACTGTTTTAATGTCTTTGTTTACCAATTTTATGGGCATGTTACTATTATTTTTCTCCTCATTATATGTTGCATTTTTCTGGTATGTTTAATTGAATATCAGATATTGTGAACTTTAACTTCTTGGTTACTGGATATTTTTGTATTCTAGAAATATTTTTGAGCTTGGCTCTAATACAGTGAAGGCTTTTTTTTTTTTTTTCCAAACAGTTTGATTATTTCAAAGCTTGCTTTTAAGTTTTTTAGTTGACATGAAATCAGCCTTTAACACAGGGCTGGTTTTGATCCACTACTGAGTCCATGCCCTTTTGAGTATTTTTCAGCTGTTCCATGAATTCTGAGGTTTTCCTTTCCAGCTAATGGTCATACAAAGTGTTCCAGACACTGTGTGAGCTGGGATTATTCCACATGAGGGAATGTGGCCCACAGCATGGGGGTCATATTGGCCTTAGGGAAAAAGGAGAGACAGTAAGTGTTATGAAAACTGTCAAGTTCTTAACTTCATTAGTTTTATTTTTCAGCTCTAGAATTTCCATTTGTGTTTTAATGTTTTCAGAAACACATTCTAGGAGAGCATCTAGATGACTTTGTGTATGGCAATGAGTTTTTAGAAATAACACAAAAGACACAATTGATGAAAAAAGTAATTGATAAGCCAGACGTCAATAAAATTAAATACAAAAGACATGATCAACAGAATGGGAAGGCAAGCCACAGACTGCAAGAAAATACTTGCAAATATACATCCATTAAAGCACTGCTGCCCAAAGAACACTTAAATCTCAAAAATAAGAAAAGAAAAAACCCAGCGAAAAAATGGGCGAAAGGTCTGGACGGACAACTCACCAAAGAATATACACCATTGGCAAATGGAGAGTCTGCTTCGTTTAACGTGGCCCCACATTTTTTGGGGGTCCTAAACCCCGACTCAAGAGCACTGGAAAACCAACAGCAGCTCTGCTTTGGTTTCTCACCACTTTTTGCTTGCCTCCTTATGCTCATGGAGTGCTTTGAGGTGAAACCTGGTGCTGAGATTTGGGCTCTGATCTTTGAGCCTTCCCCCTCTTTAGAATCTTGGCCTCTCAAATCCTGGATGCGTTGTCAGGCCCAGACTCCAATTCTTCTCTCCCCAGCCTCACAGTATTGCGGGAAGCTCTGCTGTCTCCTCTGCTTCTCAACAGCAGTGCCCTTTCCTCTTCCTTACCTTCAACCCAGACACAAATCAGCAAAGTGCTCAGAGATAGAAAGTGATGTGCAGAGAGAGTGCCCACTTCAGGAGGCATAATTCTCACTAGGACTGGGCCTCAAACCACTGGCTGCTCTCACGGCTCTCTTGTGTATCATCTGTCTGTCTTTGTATTCTTTCTATCTATCTATCTATCTATCTATCTATCTATCTATCTATCTATCTATCTCCATCATTCATCTATCTCTATCTATCCGTCATCTCTATCATCACTCTATCACTTTATCATATATTATCTATTTACATCTATATCAATCAATATAATGCCTGAGAAGTTTTTAATGCACTGGTGGGATTGATAGCATGTTACTGTAGAAGAAAAGAGTGAAGATATCCAAGATAATCCTAGAACTCAAAAATAGAAAAGAAAGGTGTTTTTATTTTTTATTCATTCAGTGTTTTTTCTCTTAATATTAATAGATATTAATATATCTATTAAAGGTAAATATCTTTCTATCTTTCTATCACTCTATCATCTATTATCTATCATGTAGCTTATATATCATCAATCTCTTTATCAATCAGTCTGTCAATCTAACCTATCATCATCATCATCATCATCATCTGTCTATTCATCTGCTCATGTGTCCATTCGCTTATCTGTTTTTCTCTCTTTCTTTCATTACTCTTTCTCCATCTCTCACTCTCTGTATTTTATCTGGATTGTTACTTGTTCTGGGTAAGAATGTTGTCCTACTAGAAGCAACTTTATCACAGATAAAAGTGAAAGTCTACTTCAGACATCGTATGTCTTATATATTACCCACTACATAGAGTTAGAGTACTAAGGCATGCAGGTACTCTGAGACATAGTAAACGCTCCATAAATATTAATTTAAATGTATTTAAAAGTGTACATATATTTAAAGTGTCTATATCTATCTATATCAATATCTATCTATCATCTATCCATCCATCCATCCATCCGTCTGTCTACCATATATATTTTTAAGCTGAGGTAAAGAATTACTAAATATAGCCTAGCTTTGTCAACGCTGTATATTTCTGTTTAGTTCTGAGCCACTATTAACGATTATACTTAACAATAGTAAGTTCTTCGTGTCTCTCGAATCCATTCATTGGGTAGTTAATTCAGAACTCCTTTATTAAGCACAGAGAATGTGCTATGTTTGGGGAGAAGAAGCCAACACTTTGGTGGCTGCTGTGGCGAGAGTGTCTGGGGAAAAGATGGTGCAGTTGGGGAAATCTTCCCTCAGAAATTGATGTGTAGTTACATTAATGTTGGCTTCAAAAGAGGTAGCAGGTAAACTTACTAGGGAGTATAAAATAAAGTCAAAATTATACAGAAAAGAAAAAACAAGCTAAGGAAACCTAAGCATTTCTTTTCCTACTTTCCTGGAAAATGGTTCAGAAATGGTGGGAACATTGGGAATCTGTAGTGATTCATGTCGGTAAAGGGTTCCTCATTACTGAGCTGCTGCTTTCTGTGGACACGTGTTTCACTGACTTAGTGAGATGTTAGAAGGAAGGTGCTTCCTCTGAATGTTAGCAACCTATTTCGTCAATTAGTGGATTAAGCATGGCCTCAAAGAGACATCTATTGAACTTCTTGGAAATTAAGAAGGTGACAGTTGTATTTCTCTAAACAAGGTTACCCTCACAATCAACATTTTCAGAAGGTTCACATTTAGACTTTGCAGTTAACTCATCTAAGTGGATGTGATTTTCTTGAGGTTTGAATTCTAAATAAGAACTACACAAGCATAGATAGGAAGAAAGACATTCTAAAGACAGAAAAAAGGAACAAGTCTGGGTATGGTGGCTCATGCTTGTAATCCTAGCACTTTGGGAGGCCGAGATGGGTGGGTCACTTGAGGACAGGAGTTAAAGACCAGCCTATTCACCAATATGGTGAAGCCTTGTCTCTACTAAAAATACCAAATAAAACAAAAACAAAAACAAAAACAGGCCGGGTATGGTGGCACACATTTGTAATCCCAGCTACTTGGGAAGCTGAGGTGGGAGGATCACTTGAACCCAGGAGTCGGAGGTTACCACTGCACTCCAGCCTGGGCAACAGAGCCAGACTGCATCTCAATCAATCAATCAATCAAAAAAACAAACAAACAAACAAAAAAAACCAAAACACTTTTCTTTAAAGTGGGTCTGTTTTCTGAGATTCAGGTTTTCAGGGTTTGGGAACGAGAGGCAGTGCTGATGGGGGCTGATGCCCTCAAGAGAGTTTTCTGCCTCCAGATTTTCCAGTCTCCCTTCCGCGGCCTGTGCACACGTGCTCTGTGGGGACCAGATGCCTTGGTTGTTGGCCTCATCACCCCCTGGTTTGGGAGAGCATGGAGGGTGACCCCCTGCCCCTTCCCCTCTGTGCTGTGGCTGCAACTGCAAAGCCTCTTTCCGGTAAGCCGTCCTCCTTTCAATCACAAAACTGAACGTTTGGCCTGTCGAATGGATAATTTCTAAAATACACAGGAGCACTTTTTGTTTTCTGAGACGGAATGCATGGAAGTGAACAAAATATCTTAAGAATAATTTTATTTCTTTCAAATATCCAAACTGATTTTTCTGAATCGAATGTCAGTTTCAGCTCTGTGCAACGTAACAGGGGTCCCAAACCCCAGCCTCGGGGTCCGTGGCCTGTGAGGAGCCGCATGGCAGGGTGAACAGCAGCTGGTGAGTATTCTCGCCTGAGCTACAGCTCCTGTAAGAGCCACAGCCTTAGATTCTCACAGGACTACAAACCCTACTGTGACCTGCACATGTGAGGGATCTAGGCTGGACACTTCTTATGAGAATCTAATGCCTGATGATCTGAGGTGCAACGGTTTCATCCTGAAATTATCCCCCCTCCCCACTGTTCTTGGAAAAATTGTCAAAACTGAACCCTGGTGCCAAAAAAGTTGGGAACTGTTGCTTTATAGAATGTAACTTCACCCATGAACAATCTGGCCTGGGATTCCACAGGATTGAAGGCTTGTGGCTTTAAAATGTCACTCTTTGCATTTTGATCTTCTTTTCTATGTCATGGGACATCCTCAGTGAGGTCAACTGTTTTCCATTCACAGGCTGCCAATTTGAGCTGTGGAAATGAGATTGCTGGACTCTTCCTTTGTCTTAGGATTCCCTTGACGGCAGATGATAGAAAGCCAGCCCAAGGAGCTTCGGCAAGAAGGAGCCTGTCTGCCCCAGAGCTGGTGTGTCTGGTGGAGAACACAGGGCCCATGCCTGGTCCCACCACCTCCCTCTGTCCTTTGTCCCTTCTTGGCTCCAGGCTTCCTGCAGGTGCACCTCACCCAGGGAGTTTCGGCAGCTTGTCCCATGAGGGCAGGGGCAGACACGGCTCAGGGAGATAGGGGCCTATGAGGAGGGTGGGAAAGGGTCTCCTGTCCCCAGCAGAAGGCAAAGCTGTGTCCCCATCAGGAGCCTGTCTGTGTCCCAGGTCACACTCTGCTCTCTGGGTGGTGAGGCTGAAAGATCCAGGCTTTCTTAGACGTGGCACTGTAGGAAACTCAATTTCTATATCACAGGAGGAGGGCACAGCAACCGTGAAATGTCAGATAAGGAGGAGGAGTGTGCTGGCCTTTCCTTCTCTCAGGAGAGGCCCCTCTCCGGGATGAGATTGTCCCCTCCTGAGATGCTAGGACTGGGACCCAGAGGACTGAGATGCCACCTGAGGGGACAGGGCACCATTACTGCCCCTCCCGTGTTGGCCACACTCAGAGGCAGGAAGTCAGAGGGGCTGAAGGAAAGTCCCCCAGGTCCCTGAGAACTGGTTTCCCTAGGGAAAGAGATGCTGATAAACGGGAAGGAAACATTGCTTGCTCTGGTCTTGCTGTTTGCACCCCCCCAAAAATATGTGGGTTAAAACCTTAATCCCAAAATTATAGTATGAGGAGGTGGAGCCTTAGGGAGGTGACAAGGTCATGGAGGTAGAACCTCCCGAGTGGGATCAGTGTCCTCACACAGAGGCCCCAAGAGTGGCCTCGGCCCTGGACGCAGTGAGGACTCAGGGACCGCGCCATTCCAGAACCAGAAGGCTCTCACTAGACAGTGTCTGCTGGCACCTGGATCTTGGACTTCCAGCCCCCAGAACTGTGGGAAAGAAGCTCCAGTGTTTTATAAGCTACAGGGACTATGGTGTTTTGTTAAAGCAGCCTGAATAGACTAAAAAGCCACTCAGCAAACACCAATTGGATTAAATGCTAGGCCATTGGAATATGAAGGAGAAGAAGACAGAAACACTCGCCTCCTGATCCAGCGTCCCGGACGCACTGGGGCCCAGCAAGAGGCTGTACTTGCATCTTTCTCATATCTGATCTTCGCCTCCATCCACCTGCTCCCTGGTTCTTGGCTGTGCCCCTGATGCCCCAGTGTGAGAACGTGGAGTTTCTTAAGGCTCCTAGGCAATTCTCATATCATATTTTCTCTAATTGTCACAACAAACGTACAGGAAAGTTATTACATGCATTTTGGAGCTGGGGAGCAGAGCCCCCGTGGGCGGAGCAGCTGGCCGAGGTCCTCAGCCCCTGTGGAGAGGTGCAGCCCGAGTGTGACTGTCCGGGTTCTCAGATGGGGGCGTCCCCTTGAGGCCCCGCCTCTTGGCCAGGCTGCAGCCCAGGACCGTGCCAGGTGTGTGTTATTTATATTTGGACACACGCTGTGCGAAACGACGGGCACCCTGTGGTTATCCGTGTGGTGTAGACGCCGTGTGCATCTGTGGTAATGGCTATAAATAAGCCACAACTTGCCCAGTAGGCACCGCTCCTCTTCTGGGTCGGCAGTTCTTGCTAAAATAGCCCTAAGATACAATCAAGTGAAGACCTGAGTCGTTCTTGAAATGAAAAAACGAACAAACACACAAACACACGCGCACACACACGCACACAAACCCATGGGCTTGCGCACCTGCTTCTGCCACAGCTGACCCCAATTCTGGAGTCCAGGCCTGCGAATGGCCCACATGCTCACTGAAATCCCCATCATAATTAAAGAATCCTTCGGGGGTATCAGTTTATGTGCCAGGGAACCTGTAGCTTGAAAGGGTTGGAGATATGTCTGAGGATTCACACCTAAGGATTAGAACTCGTGGAGGAGAGCTGCAGGAGGGAGCGTGGGAAGTCAGCGTCCTGCCCTCTCTTTCTGGGTCAGGGGCTGAAGTGTCACACCCGGTTTCCTGCGGAAAGTGCACTTTGGGACTCAGAAGGGACGCGTTCCAGTTTTGAATTGTGATTTCCACCGCCCTCCATTTGAATAAGAAGCTTTTCCTCCTGAGGTCAGGCTGGTGATTTATGATGCGGCCATCGATGTGGGGAGAGGCAGGCCCGGGCGTCTATATATAGCAGCTCCTCAGACCTTAAACTGGAGGGAGGCACAGGCACTTTGCAGGAGTCAGCTCTGCCTTCCTTGGCTGGAGTGTGGGTGGCTTGGTGAGCCGGTGGCCAGGGCTTCTCTCTCCTCCTTGCAATTTTCCTTTCTGTCTGGGTAAGTGTCTTTCTCTTCTTTCCTTTTCTAATTTGTGGCTTTAAGGGGAGGACTGGTAACTTCTGCACTCACATTTTCTAAGTAGCTCTTCTTCAGGGTCAAGCAGAGAGAGCCAGTGCACTCCCTCGCAGGCACCCTTCACCGTGGAAAACAGAGCAATTAGTTCTGGGCTCTGTATTTCTTTGACGAAATTTTATGCTCAACTAACAGTTTATTTCCCACAGCCGTGGTCTTTGCTAAGTGCCGTCTAGCACCCTGCAGCGTGTGCTTTGGATTTTAACCCTGGTCTCAGCATGGCCCCAGGGGCCCCCCAGTCAGGGGACTGATGTCTGCAATTTTCATGAGATTCTCCAAAATGAAAGCCTCCCCAGAGGAGAGAGCTGGCTTATAAAAGTATGAAATAATAAAACTGGACATTTTCTTAGGGGAAAAAAGAGTTGAGAGTCATTCAGCTTAGACCTAGTCTATATTATCCAGGGTATGGGAAAGAGAATAATCCTTGCCCAAAAATGACAGCGTTCTCATGGCTGTTTTCTTCTTGGTGCCGTTGGGTGTGCTGTGAACCTGCAGACTTCTGCTGATAGAGGCTGTGCCTTCTCAGGGTGCACTCTTGATGAAACCTGCTGGAGAAAGTCAGTGGGGCTGGGTGGTTGCATGTGGAAGGCACCAGACTTGACACGGAAGGAAGGGGTTTGCCGTCGCTGGGAACACCTGGCTTTTTCTAATTCTCCATTTCACATTCCTTTCTAAGTAGAAGTAAAACAGGACTCAAAGAAAGCGTGGAACAAAGATGATTTAAGGCGTTATTTAATAAACCAAGTCCTGAGCTAAAACTTGTCTTGGGAGCCAAGGACTTAGCCACCTGGGGCACAGGCCAATGCTGTGTGTTTTGGAGTCCATTTCCCCTCTAGAAATGCTTTAATTTGGTGTATTTATTGACTTTGACATTTTTAACTGTACAAACAACAATTTCATTCATTGAGTGGAAGTCAGTGTTTTGTACTTCAGACATTTTTTGCAAATTAAAACACATCTGGTGACATGAGGAATGGGCTCCACATACTGTTCGCAGGAGGATTAGGATGGGGATATCAGACACACAGTGCCCTGCACTGGAGGACAGGCTCACGTTTCATCCTGGTGTCATGATTCCTAAACGTGTCAGGAGCATTCCGGGAGTGGCCGGGGAGCCGGGCTGTGGTGGAAAGTGGGCTGGACGCCGTCAGGAGACTCAGCTGGCGCCTGGGTTCGGCCGTGGCCCTGCCGGTGACCCGGGCGAGTCATATTTCCCTGGGGACGGTCTGTGCTAACAGCGCAGTGTGGCTCCAGGATTACCTACACACACACTGTCCGAGCCGCTGGACTGTTAGCTGCCACCTTGCTCAGCCTCCTGGTTTTACAGCAGAGCAGGTGGAGGCCCTGAGCTCAAGGTCAGCAGGTCCCCACTGGAGTCGCAGCCTCCCAATGCCCCTGAGCCCCAGGGACTCACACCAAAAACTGCCCTGCGAGGAAAGGCTGTTTGCTCTCTCTCTCTTTTTCTTTTTTTTTGGTGTGTGTAGCGGGTATTTAACACATGTCTGAGATAGTTCCTTAAAAAGGAAAATAGCTTTCTGCATAGGCAGTGGAGGGACACTGGGGTGCTGATCGGCCTAGGTCCTGCCATTTTCTTTATAGTGTCATAAATAGTGCAGGTTGATCACTCCAAATCTGAAGATCAGAAATCCAAAATGCTCTAAATCCTGAAACTTTCTGAGCGCTGGCGTGACTCTCAAAGGAAATGCTTGTGCGAGCATCTCAGGTTTCTGATTTTTGGATTTGAGTTGCTCAACCAGTAAGTATAAATGGAAATATTCCACAGTCTGAAAAACAAATCAGACATTGGAAACACTTCTGGTCCATGGATTACAGATCCAGCATTCTGGATAAGGGATGCTGGACCTGTAGGGTGCACTTGGCAGGTCCTCTCCAGGGTTCCCTGCACGCAGAAGGGCCCTGTGCTGCCAGGGCTGCAGGCACCCAGCATGCGATGAGTCCGTGGGAATTTGCTTCCCCACTGACTCAGGAGGGCCATCACACCCGGCCAGGAGGTGGTGGCCCAGGCTGCGTGAGGGACGCTGGGGAAGTTCTAACATAGGAAGTCCCCCAAAAAGTGAAGAGATTGCAGCGGGGACACACATTCCGGGTGGGTGAGGCTGGACGTGCCATCCTGCTAGTTTTCTGGGTTGGGCATGAGATTGATAAAAGTGGAATTGAAGGCACACTGGCACTGGGAGTCAAATGCACAGAAGACTTGAGGCTGCTACTCCTCTGAGCCAGGAGCTCTAAGATGTTTTCATTGTTGAAATCCAAGGGTTCTGATTCAGGCTTGGCTGGCACATGGCAATTGCCATTCTTGTGGAATGAACTGAGGCTGACGGATTCTGCAAAGCCTCTGACACCTCCTGATTTTGGTGGTCCTGAGCATGAAGTGAGCAGGGAATACACGTGGGGATAAATGCAGCAAAGTGCCTATGACCCCCATCCAAAGACGCCCCAGGGAGACTTCCACAGTACAGTACCATCGGAGTGAGGAGTTCAGGAAGTGTGCACACTTGATCCCAGCTCTGCCTTGCTAAGCACTACAAAGTGTAGCCCCTCACACATGAAGTGTTTGAAGACTTCCAGGCCCAGAGGACTGGGTGTCAAGTCAGTGATACGTGGGCTGCTGGTTCTGCACACACACTGGACAGGACGTTCCAGACTAGTTGAAGGCTAAGCTAGTCCGTGAGCTCTCAAGGCCTGAGCCGCTTCACATTGTTCCAGGTCTTAGGTCTAAGGAGGACGATTTCCATCCAGGGTGATTCTCCTCTTTTTTCTCCTTTGACCTCATCGGTCGCATTTTTACTCTTCCCTTTGCCAAGAAATAGAAACACATCTGAGGTGTAACTCAACATAAATGTAAGTAAATACTGTGATGACACTTGAGCCTGTGCTGCAATAGCAGGTACTGGGGATGGCTCACGTGTCTGCTGGAGTGGAACTGCCTGGTATTCGTCAGGCCAATCCCAGAAGAACCTTGGATAGGACACTGGATGGAAGCTGAAACATCTTCCCCAACCTTGCTCCAACTTCAGTTCAGAGAGCTCTTCCCAGCACCCTGCTGGTGAACCCCAGAGAGAGTAAATGGGTTTCCGAGCAGGAAGCGCTTCCTGAAGATCCACCTTGATTAACTCATTGGAAAATCCCAGTGAGCTGCGTCTGGGGAGATTTCAAATAGTAAAGCAATACATAGACTTTCTCAGATACCTTTTCCTGTCTGCAGAGTTCTTGAACCACGATAACAGTCGCAGTGTAACAGAGACAGCTACCGATCTCGGTACCAGGGCCAGTGCCAGGCGTGGTACAGATTCAATATGGAACACCAGAGCTAGAGGAGCTAGAAGCTACCCAGGCCTCATCCGAATGCTGGAGTCAGAATTTGATCCCAGGTCTACCAGATGTCAAAACCGGGGCGCTTGACCTCTGCACTATGATGCCTCCTTCAGTATTGGGGCGGGCGGAGGAGATATGCTTTTACTGTGTTCTGTCAGGTGCCACGTTCTGTTATATCCCTGGAGTAGAATGCATGCTGGCACACTCTGAAACACGGCTGGGCCCTCCTGGGGTGGGGTGGTTGGTTGACTAGTTGAGTTTTAAGAGGCAATATTGAGAGAGTTAGTGTGGCAGAGTAATAAAGGCCCAGAATAAGGATGGCCTTGGGGCAGGGGGAGCCTCTTTTACATGCTTTTGAGGAAGAATTTCTCCTTTCTGGCCTGTGTGTCCTGTTTTCTTCCCTGTAGAACAGGAGTTTGGATAATCCCTAGTGATCTTTCCAAGTTCTACAATACTGTCGTTCTCGGAGATCACAGAGTTCAAAGGAAACAGATCCTAAGGAGTGTCCTTGGGGCAATTTATGTGTTGTGGTAGGTTTTCTAGCACGTACCCTGGAGATCTGAACAATGACACATTCATCTCCCAGCAGCCCTTGGCATTTTCCACCCAAGTCTCATTCCCATGGGCCGGGATGTGGGTGGCCTCCCTGCGGCTGTGCCATGGGGCCTTACCGAGGAGTTCTGTCTTTAAATAAGGACAGATTCTCATCGTTTAAACAGAAGAGTCAAAAATGGAGCTCAGGTTGTGAGTCCTTTTGCACCTTGTTTGGGAAACTAATGACTGCAGAAATTTAGCAATATGGTCCCTGCATCACTTTGTAGCGATGATCGAGTCACTCAGCATGTTGGCATTTTATGTATTTTGGGTGAACATGTACAACAGATTGCCATGTCTAACACCTGTAATGCTGCAAGTTCCCAGAGAAAAGGATGGAACTCGATGATTTCTTGTTTGGGGAGAATTTCATCCACGCTCTCAAATTTCCCCACACCCCTGAGGCTTTGATGCCAGGCTCCGTCCTCACTTTCCTGCTCACCTCCTGCCACACCCATCTACTGTAACCAGCGAGACTTCAGACGGCAGATTCCAGGGGGTGTCTCCAGCCAGTCCCTTTTTCCATGTCCCCCGTTGCGTGGTGGAACAACCCCCGGCTCCCCAGTCAGACACCAGCCACCAGCCACCTCTGCTTGCGGCTGCATCTTTCCACAGTGATCTCTGGTCACACCCCTGCAAATCTCCCACGATCCTGGATTCTCCTGCCCCGACCTTTGCTCACGGGCTGCCCTCCTTTCCCACCTCCGCCTGGCAGTCCTGCCTGTCCACCAAGGCTCCTCTCTAATGTCACCTGCCTCGAGGGCCACTCGGCCGTCCTCGGCTCCTGCCATTCCCAGGATACCTTCTATCTCCCCAAGCTCTTGGCTCTTATCGTATGTTCTCTTGTATTGTAAGTGTTTGTTTACTTCTCTAATCTGCTTTAATTATTTTTGTCCTTTCCACTCACATTGCTTTGAACTTTGCCCTGAACACACCAGGGGTTCTAGGAATACTTGTTGAGTTCACAGTTAAATGAAACACCAGCCCAATCTTCCAACTGTTATGGGAGAAAACAAAAAATAAAGTTGGATCCCTGGGAAGTTAATAGGCTTCCTGACTGCTGGTCTAAGGTGATTTCTGGTTATGTAATCTTCCGTTTTTTCCCTTCCCAAGGCGGTTTTATTAACTGGAGTTCATTTTCCCCTTGGGAATGATGCAGAAATTGCAGAGGCCTCATGATGCCTGCGAGGGAGCTCAGTGTTGTGTGTGACTCTCTTTGTAGGAGCACGCCAAGATGTCCCTTGTGGCCGTCCCCTTCTACCAGAAGAGACACAGGCACTTCGACCAGTCCTACCGTAATATTCAAACTCGGTACCTGCTGGATGAATATGCATCAAAAAAGTAAGCTGACATTGGCTGATGAGACGCTCAGAGCTTTGATTATGGGGGTCTGACATTTAACGGCTTTTCCAGTCCTGTCAGCCCTGCA